CTCTTTTCTGCAAATAGTCCAACAATGCTGCCAATTCAGTTTGATGTACCTCGTGGTCTGTAGAGGCGATCAAAATATCATCGACATATTGAATCATAGTGGACTGTTTGACTGGACATTCTGGGTCACACAAATCACGTCTGACAGCCTGATGGTATAAGGTAGGAGAATTCTGAAATCCCTGTGGCAAACGTGTCCACTGGTATTGTTCATAGTCAACTGTGAAAGCTAACCATGTCTGGCTGTCAGGGTGCAAGGGTACAGAAAAGATTAGACATACCGATTACTGAAAAAATTTTACAATCTAATGGTACTGATTTGTAGTCGTGTCCTCTTTTGGAAGACCAAACCAAGTAGTGTCGCTTTCACAACAAAAACACAGCGGCCTAGCGGAAGCCCCGGCTTAGCGTGAGCTGAGGCCGGGCTAGAGTGAGCTGAGGCCGGGTGAGAGAGAGTAGAGGCGGCGGGGTCGAGAACGGCGCGGCTGGCGGATCCGACGAAGGAGCGGCAAGCACATGTGACGACCCCGGGCTTCGTCCACGGTGAAAGCCGATCCGGTGATCCACAGCACTAAGTTGATGTATTCCCTCAGCGACCAGCACAGATCAGCTCTAGGCATGACGAAGCGGATATCGTCCTCTTTTGGAAGACCAAACAAAGTAGTTTCGCTTTCACAACGAAGCACACAGCGTCTTCAGGACATGGCGGCAGCGGCAACAATACTACAGCGAGAATAAAAGTTACGCCTTCTTTCTTTGCGTGAACATTTGGGCGGCGTTATGCAAATCTTCCCACAGAGCGACGTAGGTATGTGGGGGCGTGTTAGAACGAGCCGTTTTAGGTAGGTGTGGCTGACTCTTAACTTTTATAAAGAATATCTCTTTGGATTTGAGACTTTAGTCTTTGCAACTTTACAGATCTTCTTTATGCACCAAGAGCTTGTAACACTCCAAAGAAAAAGGAAAAATTTAAATCGCATCATATGACCCCTTTAATTGTAATAATATTTGTATTTTTGATCAATGCAGCTTTGTTGAGCATAAGAGAAAAAAAATCTTACAGACGCCTTTTGAACAGTTGGTGTATGTTTAACAACAATCAACCCCGAGAAAGCAAATACCAATTTCTGTGACTGCTGAAGGTCACTATGTTATGTTGTCTTTGGCATTAAACCCATAATTAGATATTTAATATTTGATTACATAGAAAAATTTGTCATTTGTTTGCCCTCACATTTTGAATATCTGATACATTTTAGTCATTTCCAGTGGTATTTTTGTATTGAGACCTTGTTCATTTGTGACCCTGCAAGAAAGCTGTGATAATATACAGCTTTTTGAATGAGAAATATTTCTGTCTGTGTGTCAGTCTCGGCGTCCGTCACGACTTTATCCAAGTGGTGTCCATTCATACTGACTGCAACGCGAGACAGTCAGTGATGGCTGTGAGCCAGTAACAACCACTCTCAGATCAACTGACAGCCTGTGCTTACTAGACTACTGCGCTTTGGCACACACACGTCTTTAACTCGCTTGTTTACATAAATACAGTGATTAACCGTTTCTCACTGTTGCTGTTAAAGTACGCTGAGTTGCTTGCCAATGTCGTGAAACCGGTAGATGTAAAAGAGGAAAGAGATCCCATCCACTCTGTCCAATGGAATTAAAACATATTATTTGACTTTGATCTTCAGCTATTATTAATCCTCCAGATAGAGTCACAGGAAATAAGAGGAGCAGGGAATCAGCTGTGTTTGTTACTTAGCAACGCAGCAGATAATGAACTTCCCTTTGAAACTAACCTGTGGTGCTTAAGGATGTGTCTGCTAAGCATTAATTACTGCCTTAATGCCTCCTATAAACATCACCCTTCTCGTCGTTCTCTCATGTAGTGCAGGACACTAGTGATAATGTGAGGTAGACGTCTGACACTACAGCCTTAGTAGTATTTTTATTAGAGATGCACCTATCGACTGGCCAGGGACCGGATTTAGCCGGTTTTCCGCATGATCGGCCCGGACCGGTGACCGGCCGGTCAGTCTTCCGGTTCTGAGCCGGGATTGATAATGTATTTGTGTCATGCCAGATGAGTCTTGTGCAGCCTGAGTGAGTGTGTGAGAGAGACTCTTGCAGAAAACAAAACAAATGAGCGCAACAGCACTATATACATAGATACATATATACATACTGTGATAGTAAAAAAAACAAAACAATGTTATAATATATGATTTAGGTATGCAACATTGCATGAACAAAATGTTTCAACACGATTGCAATGTGATTTTATACAATAGTAGTTCAATAAACAAGTTAAAATTAAGTGACTTACAGTTTAGACACACTATTGGCTGTTTTTGCTCAATTTCGCTGATGAAAATAGTTCCAATCAAAGCCATAGAAGAACTGTTTTGTGTCTCCGAGCAACACAGCGGTGTTTCGTTGCTGAATGAATCCACGTTTTTGAACGAATCAAGTGAGTCAGTGATTCAGTAACCCATTCATAAAGACAGTAGTCACTTGCCTCATTTCTGAATGAATCATCCGTTTGAACTAGGTATGGGCCGATTAACAGTTTCAAGGTATACCGCGATTTGAAAACCACTTCTCATAAAGAACAAGAACATGGTCTTCGTTTTAATGAAATACCAATGGTTATACAGGCTAATTATGCATTCTTTATAGCAACTTGTTTACCATATTCTTCATTCTTTCAAGCAGACATTTATTTCTATAAATAAATTTAGATTAATCTTTAGGGCTAATAAAGTGTTTCAGTCAAGAGCAGTGAGTGATTTTCTGTTTCTTTTGCTTAACATCAGTGACTCGGACAATACTTTCCGTGTGTATGCTTCAGTGTCTGCGCTCTGAAAACCGGACCAAATTGAGCTCTCTCTTGCGTCGTCAGATTTATCTATATGTCTGCTCTTATCTTACTCCCACATATTGACATTTTTTAACGTTTTATGCGACGTGCAGCAAGTGTATTTTAGCTTATGTCCCGCTGGTTCATGTACGTAACGCTATCTAACCTCCTAACCACGCAGCAGATTCGCTCTTAAATTGAATGAATCTCTACTGGTTTGGTTTCATATTTAAAACTATCATTGCATCTTTCCCAACATTTCTTATTTGTATGTTTAAAAATATTTAAAACATTAATCTTATAAAATTCTTTATGCATTCAAAAGTTTGCCGTATAAATGCATTTATGGCACCTCTTTTAGAAAGAAAATCAGAATCGCCAAAAATCGGTATCGGCAGGTCACACTTACAATAAAATCAGAAATCGGAATTGGCCAAGGAAATTGCAATCAGTGCATCTCTAATTTTTATATCATAAAAACAAAAAGTTAAATTACAAGATAAAATGTCTGTCATGCTGTATCTTCTCCTCAATCTGTGTTTTTGAAGTACTAGTCAGTGTTACTTTTGTATTATTTAATTACTATTACAGTACTTATCAATATTTTTAAATTAGCCTTTATTTGTATATCAATTTTCATTTTAGTTTTAGTAGTTTTATGTTTGTCATCATCATTGGCTGCATCCGAAAACTCTGAAATGCATTCCAAGGCAGGAAGGCATCAAGGCACGTCCGAATCCAAATTCTGCTTTACCTCCTGTCTCCGTAGGTACCTTCTTCTGATCGAATTTTGAAGGCAGCAAAGATGTATCCTTCACTGCCTTTGATATCCCACAATCCTGTGCGTTCCATTCCGTGACGGTTGAGCTAAAAAATAAAGATGGCATCTCAAAGTTGCGTTTGGTGGTCAGTTTGTGTGTAAATGTATATTTCTGACTAACTTTTTGCACTTTTGATTTTATTTCTAGCAAGAAATCAGTTTTATAGTAATTAAATATTCATTTAGTTATCACCAAAACTCATTCTATTTTGTTGTAGATCATTAAACCGTTACGCTGCCTCAGAAGCCTGTCTGAAATCAGTTTCATGAAGTGCCTTCGTGCAGAAACGCTGCTTGCAAAGTCATTGCATCATACGGCAGCGAGGCAGCAAGTCAGCTGCCTAAGTTTTCGGATGTAGATCATTATTATTGTTGTTGTTATTATTTTAGATTTGTATTTAGTTTTAGTTTTATATTTATTTTAACAATTTTCGTGCATCAGATTTAATGTATTTTAAAATTCTCTTCCATAGACAAAAAAACAATCCATCCACACTGTGAGTGAAACCAGTCTCCTTGACATAACATCAAACTTACAGTGTACACTACAGTCTCCATGCTCACAGCGTCCCAAACACAAATATTTTTTATATTTATATTTTCATTGTCTGGCTATCTGGGATTTCGGTATGGAGTTAAAGGTTAGGATTATATTTTTTTTGGTAGTATTATATCACATTGTGAGTGTATATTAGCACCTGTTGTTGTTTTCTCGTGGTATCAGATAGAGCGTTTGGACACGGAAGCGGTGACGCGTGACGTCAGACTTAACAAGCGGATAAAATAGCTTATCTTTTGATGTTAATTCATGTTCATTATGTACTATAGTAGTAAAGAGAAAGATTAAACGGGTTCACTTGCCGCTTGAACTGAGGCGCTAAAGCGATCGCGCCTGCCGCATTAAAGGCCGTGTCCACCAAAGCGTTTTTAATTAGCCAGCTGCGAGCGCTTGAGAGCGCTTTTTGTGGCGCAGCGTTTTTTCAGTTGAGACGCTTTGGTTGCTATGATACGGAATATCCGCTAAACTGTTACTTGTATCTGATTTGGTAGATAATTTGTTTCTGACTAAAATGTTGACACAATGTAGAGTACTTGCTCTGGTCCTTGCTTTGGATGGAGGGGTGGTTGAACCACGTAGAAAGAAAGGACGGACCCGCCGGTCTGTGTGGGTTCATGAGATTTTTGGGTGCGCGAAAACAGCTCGGTGAGTATCATCGTTTGGTCGAAGAACTGAAGTTGGACGGAAGCCGGTTCAAGGAGTACTTTCGGATGAGCAGGGCACAATTTGAAGTGTTGCTTCAGAAAATTGGACCTTCTATTACAAGGCGAGACACAAATTACCGGGAAGCCATCAGCTCGGAAGAACGTCTCTCCATTTGTCTGAGGTAACCTGTGTGTATAGGTGAAAGAGTTATTATGCTTACATTGATATTTTTCTCATTAATCTGAAAATGCCAAGGTGTTTTATCAGTGAAGTAAAAGTAATATATTTGTCTCGTAGAGTGTAGCATAATTATTAAGTTTCTAGGTATTTTATGATTCAGTAATACAATGTATTTTATATTTCAAAGCTATATTTTACGTATATGAACACATGAATCATTTAATATAATTAAAGCATGTGTGTGTGTGTGTATATGTGTATATATATATATACACGCACACATAAAATGTATGACCCATTGCAACTTTTTTATTTTATTTGAGGTATCTATCAACAGGAGACTCATTCCGATCAATAGCTTTCAGTTACAGGGTGGGTTACTGCACAGTGGCAAGAATTGTAAAAGATGTGTGTGAGGCAATATGGTCTGGCATGGTCCAGGAATACATGCCTTTCCCTGAACAACACCACTGGAAGAGGATCGCTGAAGACTTCCATAGGCTATGGAACTTCCCCAACTGCCTGGGAGCAATTGATGGGAAGCATGTTGCAATACAGGCCCCATCATCAACAGGGTCCATGTATTACAATTACAAAGGGAGCTTCTCCATCGTCCTCCTAGCAGTAGTTGATGCCAGGTACCTTTTCCGGATGGTGGATGTGGGGGCATATGGGAAAAGCAGTGATGGTGGGACCCTCTGTGCCTCTGACTTTGGTAAGGCCCTCCACCAGGGGACCCTTGACCTGCCAGAGGATGCACCTTTACCAGGAGCAGAAGACCTCCAACCTGTGCCACATGTATTTGTGGGTGATGAGGCTTTTCCTCTGAAGAAGAACCTTCTCCGACCCTATCCAGGAAAACACCTTGACAGGGAGAAGCGTGTGTTCAATTACCGTCTTTCCCGTGCAAGGAGGATGGTAGAGTGCACATTTGGGATCCTTGCTGCTCAATGGAGACTCTACCACAGAGTGCTTGGTGTTTCACCAAAAGTTGCTGATGCAGTGGTGAAGGCCACTTGCATCCTTCACAATTTCCTTCGCTTTGAGGATGCTGGTGAAGAGGAAGGAAGTTGTCCCCCCCCTGCCATTAGAGCAGCAGCTTGCTATGCAGCCCATCCAGCGAGTAGGCAGCAACAACGCCTCTAGGGAAGCACTAGAAATTAGACAGAGGTACACCACCTACTTCTCTTCTCCTGCAGGTGAAGTTGCATGGCAGCATTCTGTCATCTAATGCCTTGTAATGACTCCCACTACCATCAAGACAACCTTTAGCATGAATATCAGGACCACTACCATCAGTAACATCAACATCAGGACCACCACCAGTAGTATCAAGAAAGGCTCTTTTAAGAGCCACCCAAAACCTTAGAAAATGAGCATATTTCCATTTTTGCTTTCACCAGCAAGCTATACATTGCAACAAAAATAAAACACTGACCAAAATTTAAAGTAAAATAAATGACTGGGAAAGTAGATTAATTTAAAATATATTTTTTAATCATCAATTTCCATGTACAGATTCATAAATAAAACAGTGTCATAAAAATAAATATAAAAATTGAAGCAATTACAGCTGTATATAAGTATTTCTGTGTTTGTCTGTCTGTCTGTGTGTATGTACGTATGCGAGTGTTTTACTAATTGTCAGAGGTAAATTCTGCCTCATGTAAAATCTGTTGGAATTTTATTTTAACCTCTGAACAACGGCGTGGAGGAAGGCGTCTCAAAGCCCCAGATAAACTTAAATGTGACCTAAAGACAACGACGAGTTAATAATATTGAGAAGCGGTTCTTCTGCTACAGGTATCAGTAATTTCAGTAATTTAGTGGGTACAGGATCTAACAGGCATGTTGTTGGTTTAGATGCAGTGATAAGCTCTTCCTGTAACTTTTTTATTTTATTTCAGGTATCTATCAACAGGAGACTCATTCCGATCAATAGCTTTCAGCTACAGGGTGGGTTACTGCACAGTGGCAAGAATTGTAAAAGATGTGTGTGAGGCAATATGGTCTGGCATGGTCCAGGAATACATGCCTTTCCCTGAACAACACCACTGGAAGAAGATCGCTGAAGACTTCCATAGGCTATGGAACTTCCCCAACTGCCTGGGAGCAATTGATGGGAAGCATGTTGCAATACAGGCCCCATCATCAACAGGGTCCATGTATTACAATTACAAAGGGAGCTTCTCCATCGTCCTCCTAGCAGTAGTTGATGCCAGGTACCTTTTCCGGATGGTGGATGTGGGGGCATATGGGAAAAGCAGTGATGGTGGGACCCTCTGTGCCTCTGACTTTGGTAAGGCCCTCCACCAGGGGACCCTTGACCTGCCAGAGGATGCACCTTTACCAGGAGCAGAAGACCTCCAACCTGTGCCACATGTATTTGTGGGTGATGAGGCTTTTCCTCTGAAGAAGAACCTTCTCCGACCCTATCCAGGAAAACACCTTGACAGGGAGAAGCATGTGTTCAATTACCGCCTTTCCCCAAAAGGTGCTGATGCAGTGGTGAAGGCCACTTGCATCCTTCACAATTTCCTTCGCTTTGAGGATGCTGGTGAAGAGGAAGGAAGTTGTGTCCCCCTGCCATTAGAGCAGCAGCTTGCTATGCAGCCCATCCAGCGAGTAGGCAGCAACAACGCCTCTAGGGAAGCACTAGAAATTAGACAGAGGTACACCACCTACTTCTCTTCTCCTGCAGGTGAAGTTGCATGGCAGCATTCTGTCCTCTAATGCCTTGTAATGACTCCCACTACCATCAAGACAACCTTTAGCATGAATATCAGGACCACTACCATCAGTAACATCAACATCAGGACCACCACCAGTAGTATCAAGAAAGGCTCTTTTAAGAGCCACCCAAAACCTTAGAAAATGAGCATATTTCCATTTTTGCTTTCACCAGCAAGCTATACATTGCAACAAAAATAAAACACTGACCAAAATTTAAAGTAAAATAAATGACTGGGAAAGTAGATTAATTTAAAATATATTTTTTAATCATCAATTTCCATGTACAGATTCATAAATAAAACAGTGTCATAAAAATAAATATAAAAATTGAAGCAATTACAGCTGTATATAAGTATTCCTGTGTGTCTGTGTGTGTGTCTGTTTGTGTGTATGTACGTATGTGAGTGTTTTACTAATTGTCAGAGGTAAATTCTGCCTCATGTAAAATCTGTTGGAATTTTATTTTAACCTCTGAACGACGGCGTGGAGGAAGGCGTCTCAAAGCCCCAGATAAACTTAAGAGAAAATGCTCGTCATCGTCTGGCTTATTATTAATTGCCTTCAGGACACAGCGCTGATATTCTGAGATATCTGGCTCAGACTTTCTCTTTGGAGCCAGAGTGCGACGCAAAGGTATTTCAGGTGTGCAGGGTGGTGGCACATCAGGGGAGTCAGGAGATCTAGGCTGTGTGCTGTTGGCCTGGGTTTGGGTCAGTGACAGGGA